TATATTAAATACAGATTATACTTTGGAAAATGCGTTTGGAAAATGAACAAAAGCTTTGCAAGAGTACAAAGTCAGAGCAACTGCCATGCAAATGAGGAAATGCTAAGCACACTCTAAAATTCATAGTGTGCATCTAAAGATGTACACAGCAACCATTATACTGTAAAAAGTAATCACTGTAGTTCTGTCACATCATAAGGCTGCTTAAAAAAAAAAATCAACATTATTGCAAAGGAAATGGACCATGAACTTATTTTAATAGATGTTGTATTCTTAACATACACACTCCAAAATACTCATAATCTTCCACCGTTTACCTCCTAAAAACCTAGAAATGTTTGTTGAATTAAGTAAATATAATTTTAAAAGAAAAACCATAATATTCAGATATCTAGTCTGTATATATTTTTAATAAGAATAGGAAAATTAGGTTGGCTAACTGAATTATATGATCCTTTCATTTTCCACAAAGGAATCATCATCAATAATTCAGATCACTCCTCACAGTTCTTTCCTACCACTGAAGCCCAGGTGGCTTGAACGGCACAAGGGAACAATTAGACAATGTCACCAAAAAAAACAACAAAAAAAAACAACAACATTTTTTATCTATCTTTCTATCTATCTACCTACCTACCTGTATACTAGAAATTTAAGACCACTGAGCTTTTAAATGTGTATCATGTATCACTTTGATGTTTCTGCCAAAATTAATACCATCAAATGAACACCAACATACCTATCTAATGCTCCTTGCAAGTGCTCATGGGAAACATCAAAATAATAGTTGGTATGTTCTCCGCTGGTGAAGGCATTGGAGCTGCCTGCGTGCTCACTGAGGAACTGGCTGTACTCGTTCTCCTTGGGGTACTTCTCTGTTCCCAGGAACAGCATGTGTTCACAAAAGTGTGCCAGCCCTGAGATGTTTGGTGGGTCAGACAGAGAACCTGCAAATTGAAAAGAAATTCCCAGAGAAATGTAGTTAATGGTGCTGCTTCTCTTTCATCAATGCAACAGTTGTGACTTTTAATGTTTTCCAGGTGAGAAAAACAGATCTGTAACGGCACCAGAACAGGAGGATTTATATACAATGAGATGTACATGACTAAATTCTTTATCATTTTTATTCAACAGATAAAAAGAATGTCACGGGAATTTCACAACTTCCTCAGACATTCAAAACAACTATCTAATGCTTAGTCAGTGAGAACTTTAAGCTGTGGGTCACAACAGTTACATGTTATTTGCTGGTGAAAAGCTATAATAGAGAAACCAGATAAGTACATAATGTCATATCTAGTTTGCAAACAGAAATACTAGATAATAGACATCAAAAATACCCATCCAAAGCTTAAAAGACATCTGGCAACTAATGAGGTAACTCTATGCATGAAAGTATATTGGTCAGCAAGGCACAGTTATATTATGATGTGGAAAAATTGTCTGCTTTTCCAAATGGTGTGATAGAACACGAAAAAAAATCATGGTCACCTGGCAGGACAAAGAAAATTAAAACCTATTTACCTATGTGGACATCCAAAGCAGCTGAAGATTTGTCTGTGGTCGGGTCACTGATGAGCACTGCCTTCAGGCCATTGATAAACTCCAGGCCCCTGTACTCCCGTTTATCCTCAGGTGAGCGAATAACATCACTAACCACCCTCCTCACAGCCGGGTCGGTCATTCTGACTGACAAGGATGACACCAGTCTGCAAGCAAAGAAAATCAAATGGATACTTACAATTAAAATTTTTAATATGTTTTGATTTAACGTGACATAATGGCCAAAGGAGATTTTAGGACTAAAGATGCCTCTAAATGCAAGTGAGTCTATATTTGATATGACCACCTTTATTCTTAAACACACTGTCATGCTAAAAATGAACCAATCAGATACGTTCCAGATAGTACTGCACAGTTTGTTAAATAGGTTAGTAATAATTCATCAGCTTTTACATTATTGCCAACATCACAGTCCCAAACCATGACATAGCCTCCAACATGTTTCACAGATGACTGTAGAAACTCACAGTTGGACCTCTCCCAACTACCTCCATATATACTGCTGACGACTTGAACTGAAATGTTCAAATTTGGATTCATCACTGTAAGAATATTTTGTACTTCCACTGGTTTTAAGTCCTGTTCTTGTGTAATTTTGCATTCTTTAAGAAGTGAAACATGCTGACATCCATTCTTCCACTGAGCACGTTTCTAATGAGAGTGCAGCAACGAGCAGATGGATCATCTGAAGGTCCCAGATGCATCTTTCAAGAACTGACAGGATGTTTTTTTCCCCCTATTCCTTAAAGACATGACTTTAAGATACGGTTCATCTGTTGCAGATAAAAGAAGTGACAGGCCTAAAACTTCTTTTAACCAATTTCCTCAAATTGCAGGATACACTGCACAAGATGTTAACATATGTCATATGTTTTCAGCTAATAGCTCTATGGGAATCACCTGGTTAGTGTTAAGTGTCTTAACAAAATTTAAAAACCAACATCACTCAAGACCAATAAAAATAAATAAATAAATAAATAAATGAAAGAAAGTCTGGTTCCTTGGAAGCATAAAGAAGTAGAGTGTTTCTAGATAGTTGTGTATAAATAAATATTCTGTCTGAATGAATATGAAAAAAAAAACCCATAAGGATTAAAGGGAGCTGTGTTTTAACAGGTGCCGTGACTCACGTAGTTTCCACACATCACTGTAAGAGCTGTTAAGCAACACATGGCTCGTTTACTGCAGTTTTACTGAAATATTACATGAAATCTTTAATGATTTTCGGGAAAACTGTTTTTGAACAACAAAAAATTTAACGAAACCAGCAACACAGTTTAGATAACCAGCTATTATCACTGCCTTGGTGTAATTGCTACTTACGTACAGTAAGCTAAACAGCAATGACAGTTAAAAGACAGCCACGACGTAGATGTGTGGAAACATTAATACATCTCTCTGGTACTGAGCACAACGGGGATTACAGTGTGCTACAGTGACTCAGTAGAGGACACAAATTAATCCATTACGCAGAGAGCAAAGTCGCGCTAGCTTATTTAATGAGGGATAAAAGCTTCAGAAAAGTTACCAAGCAACCATGTGAGAAACGGGATGTCTTGTCTAACTCGCTGGCAAACATTTGGTTCCGCAAAGCTAAAAAGTGTATTGTAAGCGATCACGGAAGCTCCTGACACAAATACACAATGTAGGATCAGCTAACATTTCGCTTTAGCTAGTGAGGTTAGCTGGGTCAAAAAACCGGCTCGAGCCGCTAAGATTAGTTTGGTGTTTAGCCAGCTCGCTGCTCGGTGTAAAAATAACTCTCCTATTTTTCAGTTACAACACTTACCTAAAAGAGCTCACCTAAAAGGTTGGTTAAGACAGAAAACGTAGCCTGCTGACTGAAGATATCTCGTAAACTGGGCCGTTCGGTTAATGCACTTAAACATACTTTGCACCCATGAAAAACAAACCTGGGCTGTTACGGCGCCATCTTTGACTAGACACAAACAATCGATAGAAGAGCAGAGCGCACCTCATAGAGGCAGGTTGTCAAATATTTCATAGATTCTGCCACTGACGCCTTAAACCACGACAGCGTCAGTGGGAAAGCCAAATACTTAAGATTAAAACGGCAACGAAGCGCGAAACTGGCTAGAGTAGTTCAGAATATTGAGCATTGTCATTGATTCGGAAACCGATTAGACAGTCTGCGTGTAGATTTCCTTTTACGTTAAGCATGACAGATCAAGTTTCCAGCCCTTTGTCAGAGTGAAAAATGAATAAAGCTGCTAGGGAAAAAACAGGAAATTTTATCATTTGGTTTTCCTGAAAAAAATTTATTATTAATAATAATTTTTAAAAAATCACAAGGCTTCTCCGTGGTCCTCCATCTCCTCTAAATGTATAATACAAGCAATCGGTAGTTAATATTTTATTTTAAAGTCTCAAAAGAAATTACTATATTAGCCTATACTATATATTAATATGAAATTGTTACACAGTTGGTAACACAGGTTTTTACGGTGGTTGAACTTTTGCCCGTCTTTACTGATAAACTCTGCCTCTCTAAGAATCTCATTTCATATCCAGTCATGTTACTGACTTATTGCCGGTTACCTAATTAGTTGCACAGTGTTCTTCCAGCTATTTCTTTTTAGTATGACTTGCTTTTCAAGCTTGTTATTGCAGTTTTTTTTACTCAGTTTAAAAATTTGCCATGTTTTTATATGACATATACCATGTCACAGGGGGAAAGGCAGTGAATACCCTAGACAGGTTTACAGTCTGCTGCAGTGTAAATACAGAGAAACAGATGTCCATCCACACATATGGCCAACTTAGAATCATATATATATATATGGGGCCCTGCGACAGACTGGCGACCTGTCCAGGGTGTACCCCGCCTCTCGCCCTAAGACAGCTGGGATAGGCTCCAGCGCCCCCCGCGACCCTGAAAAGGAGAAGCGGAAGCGAATGGATGGATGGATATATGTATGGTCATTTTGCCAAAGCGATATAGGAACCTGTGGCCACTAGATGGCAGCAGATTTCTTTCCTCATATATCTATAATTGACATAATCTGTTCTGATCGGGAGCTCTAATCCGTCTCACCAGGCACCTTTTCCGTTAAAGATTCAGGTAACGTCCTCCCCAAAAGTACATATGTCTGTTGTGAATTTGTGGTCACTCTTATTACGAATGAACTCACTGAACTCAGGAAAATCTGCAAAGTCTAGTCTAAGGGGCTTTTGGACGTGAGGAAGGTGAATGTTTTCACTTTCAGGATTAATATTGCGCAATAAGGTAGAAGTTGTCATAAAGTTAAACTTATGCAACTCATGCATAAGTTTAACCGAGGGACATCTGATGCTTTGTGTCAGCAGAGATGAGTGTCCAACACTGTTTGGACAATCCTGTTATCCGTTGCACGTATTTGCTTTCAAAAGGGGAACTGATTATGAAAGTAAAACGCTCCTCCTCTTTTAAATCTTAACTCAGCTATCCCGTCAGTTTGGACTGGACACCGTGTGGGTCAGAGAGCTGGAGCACCCTGAGCACAATGGAGAGACCAGCAAGCAGACAGAGCAGGAAAAAAGTTGTAGCAGTGGTGGGAGGTGGTTTGGTAAGACAAGAAACTCAAAGTGAAGTATTATTAATGTGCTTTTTTTCACGCAGTGTGGCCTTTGACTTTCACACTTTAGAAAGTGTATTTGCATTTTAAAGGCTTCAATTAAGGGGAAAGATTGTTTAGCAGTGGGTATATGCAGCTTACATATTAATATTGTTACTTGTTTGACCATAAGATAATTATGTATACATGACCATGCAGAATGGGATTGCACAAAGTTTCTACAATCTGTCCTTTAGGTTGGGGCACTGAATGCCTGCTTCTTTGCAAAAAGAGGCTTTGATGTGGAACTCTTTGAAAGTCGGGAAGGTAGCAGTCAAAGCTTTTTTTTCCCTTTAAACTTTGGTTTTCTCTGTAATTGCTATCATCACACACTACTCTCTGACAAATATACCCACACACTAAAGAACATTACACAAACGTGTAAAACCTGTGCATGTGGTCCTTGGTCAGATATCCGACGTGCTAAGATTGTGAAGGGGAGAAGCATCAACCTGGCCTTGTCTCATCGAGGCCGTCAAGCACTGAAACATGTTGGACTGGAGGAGAAGGTATGCCGATTCATAAACTTTTTAAGTAGTAAAGCAGAGGTAAGGCAAAGTTTACAGGAGGGGGACTTGGTAACCCCCTGCCGCAACTCCCCACCCCTCCCACTTGTTTATTGGCCCAAATGAAAGACCAAAGTGCAAAGAGGCAAACCTCCTTTTGATTTCTAGCAACAAAATAGCATGAAGCCATTCTCCGGGAAATCTCCCACTTTCCTTTTTTTCTTTCTTTCTTTCTTTTTTTTTTTTGCTTGAGTCCTCTCAGGATGCTTTATAATAGCATCTAAGGTCACTGACCCTTTTTTTGGTGCTCCAAATTTGCTGCGCTGATCACGTCATGAGCAAACTCTGCATCAGTCCCTTATTTTTACACATGCATGACTTTTTCAGGTTGACAGAATAAGGCCCGCTCCGCCACGTTTTCACATATACTCTAAAGGGCAGACACTGAGTCACAAGCTGGCTGTCGATAGATTGCCCTTGTTTAACTTTTGTGCAGAAATGTCTGCCATTATAAATAATTATTTATCCCAAATGGTCCAGTTTTAACATTTAAGATGTTCTGCAATTTTTTTCTTTCTTAGATTGTTGCCCAAGGAATCCCGATGCACGCAAGAATGATCCATTCGCTGAATGGGAAACAGTCCCCAATCCCTTATGGCAGGAAAGGCCAGGTAAACCTTACCAAGTGCATGACTGCTGTCAGATAAGTACAGAATTTTCTAATTCTGTGATGTCTCACACTTACACAAAACCAAAAAGTCTAAATGAACCAGATTACACTGTAAAGACTGATTAATGAGCAGAAAATATGTTACTTATATGTTATGCTGCTCATTACTGTTTCTTTTTGAGGGCTGTTTAACTGACTGCACATTATCTTCTATCATTAGTTTGCTGAAAAACAATGTTACATAAGAGTCTGGTTTTTGCTAAACATACTGTAAGAATTGCCTCATATGTACAGATACAGCCTGCAGATGAATAATTTACTTTGCTTGCTAAATCTCTACACACTGGTAGTTGTTTGGTGAAGTAACACAAGAATTCACCAAAGGATGACAACTACAAGTGACAGGCTGTGCAGTGGGACTTGAGTTTTTGTCACACGACAGTATAGAGTTTGTTTTCCTCTACAGACTGCAGACTTTTAGGGTGTCTGGAAGCGGTTGTTTGATTAGAGTGCTGACAGTATGGCGAGGATTCTTCACCCCGTGGTTGGGGGAAAAAAAACAAAATTATACAGTGAAGATAGTGAAAGCAGAGGCAAGCATTCTAAACCCTAGAGACTTCCTGTTCCCATATGAAAATGAGCAGAGTTGATAAGCTGTACCTGTACAATTGCACTACATTACAGATTGTTCTCCTTTCAGTACATCCTGTCGGTAGACCGAGCCAATTTGAACAAAGAGCTGCTAACAGGTAAGAACATAAATAGTGTCTCTGGAAGTGAGATGACATTACCAAGCAACTGTCAAACCAAAATTGAATTTTTATCAGCCAAACGCTGAGTCTTTATTACAAAGAAATGCGTAAAAATGGGATTTTTTTTTTGGGCATAGGCTTTCCTTCTTTCCGACATACAGCCTCATATGGGCAGTTTAACTTGTTGGGGTTCAAATAATACAGGGGTGTCAAACATAAGGCCCGAGGGCCAGAATCGACACCACAAAAGACTCCAATCCAGTCGACTGGATGACTTGGATGGGACAAACTTTGGACTTTTAATAGCATTTTCATAAGTTTTACAGCCGTTCCTCATGATCAAGTGCTCCCTTGTAGCTAGTCACACAACGTCAAAGTGATTAATTGATAAATAATTAAATGAAAATAAATTACTGGAGAAAAAAAAAGGGACATTCTTTCTGAATTTAAGCCCAGTCATACTGACACATTTTTCAGTTATTACAGCAGCACTTTTTCATCATGTAGGAGAACTGTTGAAATTTCTCTTTTTTCTTTGATTTATACATCTCAGGGATTTAATGTGTACTTAATCTTTTCTACAATGACAGAAAAGGCGAGTTTCACCGGTCCACCCCACTTAAGATCAAAGTGGGCTGCATGCAACCCACGATGTAAAATGAGGCAGTGAAATAAGACATAAATGTTACAATGACATCTTTGCCACACCTGACCTGAAAATCCCAAAAGACACAAAAATTTCAGATCAAACTTAAAGTAGAGCACATGAATTAATCAGCATTTAACAAGAGTCCCAACTATATGTCTTGTCATTAAGTGCTTTGTGCTGGCTAATGAGCTTTGATGATGAAAAGTGATGCAGAAATAAACAAGTGGATTCGTTCATGTTAAAGGATACTCTCTTTCAGCAGTTGTCCTAGTTTTGTTTGATTGTTATTGAGCTGAGCCTCGACCACCGCAGATGCCCGCTGTGCAGTAGCTTTATGCACGTCTTCGAACTGGCTGAGTGCGTCACGTGACGTCAGAGGATATGTTAGTGTTTCAGCTAAAAAGGATTTTGCCTAATATTTAATGAAGAGCCTCAGTGTACGTTTGGAGATAATGCGCGACAGCATGGGTCTACATTTAATTAGATTGCCTGCTCGTGCTGAAAGAGAGGCTGATTACAAAGCCGTCACTCTTATCAGGGTCCATCCAGGCTTCTGGGGCGAACGCCGAGATAGAGAGATTTTGGAAAGTGTGACAGCCTAAACATAGGTTTTCATAAAACCACTGTCAGCTGTGCTGTGTTGTTCATGAGATTCGTCCTAATTGCCATGATGCCGTATTCCCTCAGTGGCTGAACATTTCCTGATTGTTTTAATGAAGTATAGAGTGGTCATATTAAACTGATGCTGTTGTGTCATGCTTGTATCAATGCTATAAACTGTTTTTGTAACATTTTCCCCTCACAGCGGCAGAGACATATCCAAACACAAAGATGAACTTCGACCACAAACTGCAGGACTGTAATGCTGAAACGGGCCTGATGACCTTTGTCAGGTAAACAGTCACTAATCTTACACATGCCACATGCAGACGGTGACCTAAGGAGAGGGTCTGCACTTTGGGATTCCTTGTTTTAACTCTGGATTTATTGACTATGGGCCTGTACATGTTAAACGCCTAAGGCTGGAGTCGGTGAAAAACAAGCTGTACTTGAAACCTTGTGGTGGGACTTTCTAGTTGCTCTGTAATTGGTTCTGCTTGAGGTAAATGTGACACTGAATTTACAACTCAATTAACACTGAAAGACCTCTGGGTGTCATAATCCGAGTGAGTGTCTCCTGTTTGGGTGTGTGTTGGCTGCCTGTCAGCTACTCCTATGTTTAGTTTTGCCGTTCGTGGAACAATACTGAACTCACCTGCAGCTCGCTTTGCACGTCCTCTGCCACTACTGTGGCTGCACAATCATCGTTGGCTATCTGCCATCACTCATCCACTCAGGCTACACGCTACAGCCGCATCCACGTCACCTGCCTCTCCATTGTCACTCACTGGAAATAAGGATTGGATCAACCACCTCTCTCATTCCGCTTTGCAGCCAGGACACTCCCTCCCTTCACAGAGTTAATTTCCCTTCAGCTGAAAAGTAAGCCATTGCTCCTAACTCACTTTTAGCCAGTGGTCCACACGTCAGAGACTCGCATTACATTTTCCTTGTTTCCAGTTTTGTTTCCCTGTGTTCAATAAAGCACTGTCAACTGCTCGTCAGTAGTCTCTAGGGTCTGTTTTTGGCTCCACTCCGACGTATCGCCCTTCTGTCCACTGACAGTACAGAATGGCATAAAAGAACGAACCCAGCAGATCTAATTCTGACCACAATAGCCAAACAAGTTGCCATTATCGGTTGGCCCGAGTGGGCCTCCAGTTTCTATGATGTAAACCCATGACAAGGAGGGGGAGATTCTTTCTGCAGTTCAGGAGCTCTGTTCTGAGATCACACCTGCTGCTCACCAGCCTCCAGTCTTCAAGAGCTAAAGAAAACTTTTGCAGGCCCTGTGATTGTGCCATTGACCCCCACCCCCTCAGTTTCATGAGGTTCATGCTGTTTTGTTTTGTTTTGCCATGCTGGTTCCAGCATCCACACATTGGGGTGGAGGTTCATTTCTACACCTGTGTTCCATCAGTGGCAATCAGCAGACTGGCTAATTTAAGACCAGCTCAGCCTTCCACTCATTGCCTGTCTGTCAACTACTCCTATGTTTTTGTTTTGGGTTTTTTTGCCATTCCTGGAACAATACTCAACTCACCTGCAGCTTGCTTTGCACGTCCTCTGCCACTACTGTGGCTGCACAATCATTGCTGGCTATCTGCCATCACTCAGTCTACACACTACGGCAGCATCCACCTCACCTGCCTGTCTTTGTGAATTACTGGAAATAAAGGATTAGATCAACCACCTCTCTCATCCCGCTTCTCAGCTGGGACACTCACTCACTCCATGGAGCTCATTTCGCTTCACCTGAATAGTAAGCCATTACTCCTAACTCACTGCTCACCTTTTAGCCAAACTTCCATACTTCAGGAATGAATCCCCCCCCACCCCGTTTTAGTGGTCCCCACGTCAGAGATGCTCATGCTACATTTTCCTCAACTCACCTGCAGCAGTTTCCCTGTGTTCAATAAAGCACTGTTAACTGCTAGTCAGTTGTCTCTTCAGTCTGCTTTTGGGTCCACTTCCACATATCTGCCTATTGGCCTCTGACACAGAATCTTTTTAGTCATGATCAACATATCCATGCCGTAAAATATTAACACAGGATGCACGAGCACAAACTCCGCTCAGTCTGATCAGAGGGTCCTAAATTGAAAGGAGCCTTATCTATAATGTGTTTAACAACAACAACAACAACAACAACAACAAACATTTGATGTGTATGCTGCCCTATCTGCTTGAATGAGTCACTGTCAAGTTACTGCACTTAAAAAAAACACTTTGATTAAAATAAGTCTTTTGTAAAGGCTCCAAATGCCACCCAGTCTCACACACCTTATGCATCCAGGGCACGTCTCTCCTGTTCTGCTGTGGCTGAACTGCAGCAGGATGTATTTGCTCTCTCAAGTGTATATAATTTAAAGCACCCGAATAATCTGCTGGTCCTGTCTGTAGTTGCATCATCCCATACCAGGTGGGAAATGTTCAACAGAAAGCCATCGGCATGAAATGCGTAAATGCAGATGACCTCTAGTCACAGAGTGCAACTCCCTTAAATCCATTCAGTGCTGCAAATGTAAATTAAAAACAATCTGAAGCCAGACTCTCATCATTACAAAACCAGATGCTGTTAGATTTACTATACACTGGGTAATTATGCACGGCTTTATAGCTGGTCATTAACAATAATAAATCCACTTAGCTAATAGTGTTGTAATGGCATTTAAGCAACTATCTGTATTCAGATGTTCCTGTGACCTAAACTCTCATTACTGTGTAGACTGGAAACTGCATTCAAAGTATGTATGGCAACCAAATGAAAGATTTAATGATCTTTTATTAGGAGTGTTAGCATTTTAACTCCATCTGCATCAGGACTAAAGTGGAGCCCTGACTCCTCACTCTTCTTGACTTAGCATTTTGGCTAATGGAAGTAATACTACCATATCCCTCTACTGCATGACTTTTTAATTTTTGGAGAAAAAAATATTCTCCCTATTTTGGGGGAGCTTTAGGGTCCCTAATAATATATCAATCATAAAATTTGACCCCCCTCCCCACCTCCAAACAGATATTGGTTTGTTGCTTCAAGGCAACACTGCGATAAGGGTAGTAAAATGCCAAGTTATTCTATAATAAGTTGTATTAGTACAACAAGGATGAACAAATAAATAAACAACAAATAAACAATGTAAACATTTCACAGAACAATAAAACACCAAAATGCATCCAACATTTGACCCTAACCCTGCGCACGCACACATGCACACGCGCACACACGCACACGTTATGTTTCCATCACTTTTGGGGACATTACATTAACTTACATTCATTTCCTGGAGACTTATCCTGACTCTACCCATCACAAGTTCCTGCCTGAACCTAACCCTGACTCAAGCTTTCACCCTAAAATTGAATGATTTAACCTGCAATTTGTCCCCATAAAGTAGGCGAGACCTCACAATGTGAGTGTGTCCACAAATTTTTGTCCCCACAACAATAAGTAATACACGACCACACACACACACACACAGCAAAATTGGTATGGCACGGATCTGGCCCACACAATGTGCTTAAACATGGCCCACATACTGCAAATGGTGGCCCAGACCTGGTTTGCCAGAGGTGGCCCACACATGGGCCAGCACAAGGCCAGTTTCAGACACACTGGTGGCCCTGTGCTGGCCCATGTTTGGATTAACTCTGGCAAACCTGATCTGGGCCACCAAAGGGCCATCATTCATTGCGGTATGTGGGCCATCTGTAGGTGGTGTGCAGCCACGGGCCAGTTGTAGACACACTGCTGGCCCTGTGCTGGCCCAGAGCAGTTTCAGCTCTGGCCCCAGATGTAAGCCTAATTTGTACCTTAATCAAGCCATGCAGTAACAAAATGTGCCAGAACATGCAAAACAGTGCAAAAGTAACATGCCGAAACTCTGTTCAGAAAGTGAATGGACTGATTTTTATATAGCGCTTTTCTACTCTCCCAGATTACTCAAAGTGCTCTATACAACATGACACATTTACCCACTTTAGCTTAACTGAGTGCTTCCTAACTACATTCATACACATTCTTGACATGCAGACTGGAGGAGCCAGGGATCGAACCACTAACCTTCCGATCAGTTTGTAACCTGCTCTACCACCTGAGATATGGCATGCCATCGCATAAACGGTGGCGTCATTGCCAGACCTAGCACACATCTGGTTGACATACACTCTGCCAAAACACCAGTCAGTCAGAAGTGCCAGCTTGGTGCCAGATCTGGGCCAGACCTGTTTTCTGTAGGCCTGGGCCACATAAACCAAGCCGCAATCAAGCCAGATATGGCATGCCATCACATAGACAGTGCCATCTATGCCAGGCCTGGCCCATATCTGGATGACATACGTCTTATCATGCCAGAAGTCAGCCAGCAGTGCCGACTTGATACCAGATCCTGGCCAGACCTGCTTGCTATGTGGGCACTAACACACACACAGACACAGTTACTTTACCAACTGACCCCTGACCCCTGAGCTCCTAAGTGTCCTTCAAACCTCATTCAAGGATCCACTCCTCTATTTCACTGTCACTTCCTGAAAGCTCACTTTCTGAGGACAGAAAGTGCACATTCCCTTGGTTTCCTTCCATAAAAGGTATTTACATCCATGTCCTGTAATTATGAGCAGATTGTAAAGTAAAAAACATTGACTATGATCATATAAATGCACACAAACACATCTCTACACACATGCTAATGCATTATATTGCCTGAAGAAAACTGGGCTAACTGCACAGTGTTGCCTTGAGGCAATGAATGAAAATGAAAATGAACAGTTTTACTGCATAAATAAAATTGCTTCTAATATGCTTCTTAACATATTCATGCACATACAAGTATTTTTTAATATAAATTTATTTCACTATAAACATGTAAAATAGTGATCTTTATCTTGCCTCCTAATGGAGATGTCTCTCATGTAGTGCAGCTTGTGGAAAGGGGTCCCCCCCCCAAATGAAAGTCACACCACCTTCAACTCATCATGTAATTGGAAAGAGATGTGCCTGGTAGCCTTATTTTAAAAAAAAAA